TCAGAATAGGGGATGGGGGTGGGCTCCCTGGAGGCAGCTACTCGGGAGGCTGAGGCAGGAGAATCGCTTGAACCCAGGAGGCGGAGGTTGCAGTGAGCCAAGATCGTACCACTGCACTCCAGTCTGGGTGACAAAGTGAGACTCCATCTCAAAAAAAAAAAAAAAAAAATTGGACTGTGGTGATGGTTGCACAGTTCTGGGAATTTGCTAAACGTCATTGATTTAGACATTGCTTAATGTGGGTGGATTAATGGTAAGTCCGCTCCCGGGAAATGTGGGTGCATTCTGGTTTAAAGGTCAGGTTAGATTCAAATAGTTCTAAATCTGTTTGTTCAGATTCTGATAGTTCAGAATCAGATGCAGATTCTGATTCTCCAGGTCTGGGGTGGAGTTTGAGATTCTGCCTTTTTTTCTCCCTCAGAGATAAGGTCTGTTGCCAAGGCTGGAGTGCAGTGGCACAGTCACGGCTCACTGCAGCCTCCACCTCCTAGGCTCAAGTGATCCTTCCATCTCAGCCTCCTGAGTAGCTGGGACTATAGGCATGTGCCACCACACCCAGCTAATTAATTTATTAATTTTTTTTTTTTTTTACTGGCAGAGTACAAAAAAAAACGGTTTTTTTTTTTTTTTTTTAGAAACGGGGTCTTGCTATGTTGCCCAGGCTGGTCTTGAACTTGGGACCCCAAGTGATCCTTCTGCCTAAGGAAATTCCACATTGGAAACAAGGCCCAAGGATGCCCAGGTTGCTGGTCTAGGAACCACATGTCAAAACTTTAAGGATCCCTGTCATATTACTTTACGCCTGATACTATATTCTTCGTGGGTTTTTTGTTTTTGTTTTGTTTTTTGAGATGCAGCTGTCGCCCAGGCTGCAGGCTGGAGTGCAGTGGCGCAATCTCAGCTCACTGCAAGCTCCGCCTCCCGGGTTCACGCCATTCTTCTGCCTCAGCCCCCCCGAGGAGCTGGGACTACAGGCGCCCGCCACCTCGCCCGGCTAATTTTTTGTATTTTTAGTAGAGACGGGGTTTCACCGTGTTAACCAGGATGGTCTCAATCTCCTGACCTTGTGATCCGCCCGCCTCGGCCTCCCAAAGTGCTGGGATTACAGGCGTGAGCCACCGCGCCCGGCCTTTTTTTTGTTTTGAGACAGAATCTCCCTCTGTTGCCCAGGCTGGAGTGCAATGACACGATCTTGGCTCACTATAACCTCTGCCTCCTGGGTTCAAGTGATTTTCATGCCTCTGCCTTCTGAGTAGCTGGAATTACAGGTGCGCGCCACCACACCTAGGTAATTTTTATAATTTTAGTAGAGATAAGGTTTCGCCATGTTGCCCAGGCTGGTCTCAAACTCTTGGCCTGACGTGATTTGACCACCTCGGCCTCCCAGAGTGCTGGGATTATAGGCGTGAGCCACCGCACCCGGCCTCTGGAATTACTTTTTACATCAGAACTAGTCCATAGAAACAGCATCCTGGCCGCACAGCCACTCCCCTTGAGTTTGTGGCGAGATGGCAGCTCTTGGGAAGACGGGGTGGTGCCTGGTCCTCCCTCCATCCCCTTGGGGGGTTGTAGCCGGAGGTCCCCATGCCTGTGACCACTCACTGCTCACTGGTCTGCATCAGCTCTATGAGGTCAGAGAAGAGAACGTCTCGGTTCCTCTCGCAGAAGCCGCTGACATCGTAGGAGACCTGGAGGGGACAGGACAGCGCTGAGGACAGTGAGGGACTGGGAGGGTGGGCGCAGAGTGCTTACAGCCCAGGTGGTCAAGGGTTTCCTGGGGCCTGCTGTGGGGTGAGGGGATTGAGGAGTGTCTACAGCGCTGGTTGCGGGGGTATCTACAGTTCAGAATAGGGGATGGGGGTGGGCTCCCTGGAGGGCTGATACTCAAGTTGAGGTTCGAGGATCGTAGCTGTATCCCAGGTCAGAGGTAAGGGGAGGTGGGGGTTACAACCTAGATGAGCCGGGAGAGAGCTGCAGTTTGCATCAGAGGCTGGGTGGCGGTGAAAGTTATAGCTCAGATTGGTGGGTGGGGGGTCCCTGGGAGTCAGAGGTTAGATTAGGTATCTGTGACCTGCTCAGTCAGGGGCCAGTGTGGGGGGCCTGTGTTAGGATGATAACAGCCCTACCTCAGGGATCCTTGTGAGGGGACTTCAGCCAGGATTGGGGGCTGGAGCTGCTACCAAAGGTTGGTTGGGGCTGTCCGTGGTTCCCAGCAGGGCTTTTGTAACCAGGCTGGCGTGCAGTGGCACAGTCTTGGTTCACTGCAACCTCAGCCTCCTGGGTTCAAGTGATTCCCCTGCCTCAGCCTCCCAAGTAGCTGGGATTACAGGCGCCCACCACCACGCCCAGCTGATTTTTGTATTTTTAGTAGAGATGGGGTTTCACCATATTGGCCAGGCTGGTCTTGAACTCCTGACCTCAGGTGATTCACCCGTCTTGGCCTCGCAAAGTGCTGGAATTACAGGTGTGAGCTGCCACTCCCAGCCTCTCCAACCCATTTTAGGGGCGATCCTAGGAACTTCTGCTCTCATGTTGTGAGATCCTCAGATCACTGCCCGAGAGTCTACAGTCCTGTCCGCTGGGGAGCGGGGCTGCAGGCATGGCTGGAGGCCAGTGGATTTCTGTAGCCTGGGATAGGGGTCTGTAGGAGGGCATCAGCACATTTTGAAGGCTGGTGGCTCACAGAAGGGACCTGGGGGCTTTGGGGATTTCCTCTCCAAATTGGGATCAGAAAGTTGGGGGCTGTGTCCTAGTCAGGGGGTTATGACTTACATTGGGGCTTATCTGGGAGCACAGGCGGTCTGGTACCCAAGCTGGTGTTAATCGGGGGGATTTCTGTTCCCTCTGTTAGGGAGTTGATGTGTAAGGGAAGCTGTGGCCTGGATCAGAGGCCAGTGGGTTTCTGCAGCCCTGGCCCAGGGAACACGGTGGTAGTGGTGGTGGTGCTGGTGAGGTCCAGGCAAGTTTGGGGCTTAGAGAGTTCCTGGGGGGTCAGCTGGAAGGGTCTGTAGTTCTGGTTAGTAGGGGGTGGATTGAGGCAGGGGGACGGTGGAATTCTACAGCTCTGGATGAGGGTCCTAGCAGGCTCGCTCCAGCCTGCGTGCTGGAGGGTGGGGGCTACAGCCCGGAGCCCTGGGGGTCTGCGAGGAGGCACAGGGTGGGGTAGGGGCCGGGGGCGCACCTTGCCAGCGTAGTGGTGGATGACGAAGCCGGCGCTCCAGCTGTTGAAATGCTCGTGGGTGCCCACGGCCGCCTGCAACTTCTGCAGCAGTGTCTGGTCTGCTCCCCCGCCTGTGGCGTGCATGGTGGCACACACGTCGTCCAAGACGCTCATGATGCCTGGGGGGCTCTGCGGGGCGAGCGGGAGCCAGCAGCGGTTCAGTTTGGTCTGCCTTGCCTCCCCATGGCTCATCAGTGTGGAGATTGGGGGAGGGAGGGGGTGGAGGAGTAGAGGGAGCTAGAGCTTTGGGGGCGGGGAGGGCACCAGGGGCTTCCAAATACAAGCACAAAAGGCATTGCAGGGGTCGGGGATGAAAGGGATGGGGGGCAGGGGTGTGTGGGGCTGCTGTGGAAGCTCGCTGGGGTGCAGAAGTGGCTGGGGGCCCCTCAAGAGATTCAGGTCTCAGACTAGAATCCCTTGGTTGGGGGACCTGCCTTATTTATTTGTTTGTTTGTTTATTTACTTATTTATTTATTTAGAGACGGAGTCTTGTTCTGTTGCCCAGGCTGGAGTGCAGTGGTATGATCTCAGCTCACTGCAGCCTCCATCTCCCAGGTTCGTGATTCTCCTGCTTCAGCCTCCGGAGTAGCTGGGATTACAGGCGTGCTGACACCATGCCAGGCTAACTTTTGTATTTTTTAGTAGAGATGGCGTTTCACCATTTTGGCCAGGCTAGTTTCGATCTCCTGGCCTCAGGTGATCCACCTGCCTTGGCCTCCCAAAGTGCTGGGATTACAGGCATGAGCCACCGTGCCCAGCCTAAATACTTTTTAAATTTAATTTTTTTGAGACAGGGTCTTGTTCTGTTCCTCAGACTGGAGTGTGGTGATGCAATCATAGCTCACTGCACCCTCGACTTCCTGGGCTCAAGTGATCCACCTCAGCCTCCCGGGTAGCTGGGATTACAGGCGCCCACCACCATGCCTGGATAATTTTTTGTATTTTTAGTAGAGACGGGTTTTCACCATGTTGGTCAGGCTGGTCTCCAACTCCCGACCTCAGGTGATCCGCCCGCCTCGGCCTCCCAAAGTGCTGGGATTACAGGTGTGAGCCACCGCGCCCGGCCTGGAATCTGCAAATTTGACTCTGACTCTGAGCTGGGGTTTCCGGGGGAGTGTTTATTGAATGATTAAGCGACAGGTGGACAAGTAGGCGGAATGAATGGATGAGGGGCGGAAGGGACATTTTGGTTGTGTTCTGTCTGCTGGAAGGCCTGAGTGTAGCGTGGAGAAGGGCCTGAGGATGCCATAACGTCCTTCTCCCTCCCCCCATCTTCCAGACTCAGCTTAGGGGCCCAGTGAGACGCCCCTGCGAAAGTTGACCCAGCCCTCACCAGCTTGTTTTCGATGAGGTCACAGACGACCTTGTTGTTGAAGTACTGGATTGGAGTCCAGCGGATGCCTTCCTGTACGTACTCCTCCTGGGGGTGGAAAAGGGGGTGGG